AATATATGAAAGTTAAGTCTCACTGGTGCTGCACCTAGAGGGTTCTGCAGTTTGGGGAGAAACTGTAGTATCTCTTGGATATTAGAGACAAGCACAGACCACACCAGAAACAATTCATGTTGCCGTAAGCAAGAGGTGAATGGAGAGAATACCTGAAATTTATGGTCACAGATGGGAGGCTGCCTTGCAAACCATAGCTCTGATGCCTGGCAGGTTGGCGGCCCTGAGGAGAGAGGTCAGTGATGACGAGGGACACGCCATTGGCTGAGGGGAGACAGGTGTGGAGAAGCTATGGTGCGCCAGAGGCCAGGTTTCCAGTAAAGGAACAAGGACAGTATGCTGGGCTGTGTTCCCCTTCCCCATTGCTCAGGACTGGCAGTGAACTTGGAGGTCACTGAAGGTGTATAATGGACAGGAGATACCTGATAACACCAGATAGGAGGGATACTGGCAGTGCCACAGGCTCCTGCTTCTACTCTCACCAGCATTTGAGTCCTTCCAAACTTTCCCCTCATTTCCTTACTCAGCAACTGCAAGAACAGGTCTCTAGATCTATGAAAGCCCAGAAAGACCAAACATCATAATCAATTAAAATTGGACAAATCTTAAAAACAAAAGGACCCACAGTGCCATCTGCTGGAAAAATAGAAGTATTGCAAATCTCTAATCAAGTTGGTTGCTAACAAATGGTGTTAGGGAAAGGATGATACTAAGTCAGTAGCTCATACCATATACGAAGATTAACTCAAAATGGATTAAATACTTGGTTGTAAAACCTGAAATAGTAAGATAAATAAGAAAAAAAAAAAAGGAAAACAGTTCACAATGTTGGCCCCAGTTCTAGGGACTAGATTCCCATGGCAACTGAAATAAAAGCAAAAATAAACAAATGAGGCCACTAAGAACTTTCTGCATAGTGAATAAACTACTAGAAAAATTAAGTCTCCACACTGAATGGGAAGAAATATTTGTACATCTAAGTTCTAGAATGAACTCATATGACTTAACAAAATCCCTAATTAAAAATGAACTGAAGAGTTAAATAGACACTTCTTCAAAGATAGCCAATGGATACAAGAGAAAATGCTCTTGTCATCAGGGAAATGCAAATCAAAATGACAATGGGATATCAAATTGCACCTGTGAGAATGACCCATGTCAAAAATTCCAGAACAACGATTGCAGAGGATGTGAGAAAAAGGAATCCTTGTACACCGTTGGAAATGTAGGTTGGTTCAGCCTCTATGGAAACCAGTATACGAGTTTCTCAACAAATAAAAAATAGATCTGCCATATGATCATCAATTCCACACTTAGGTACTTATCTGAAAACGTAAAAAACACTAATTTGAAGGAATAGATGAATTCTTTTTTTTATAAAAGATTTATTTATGTATGCATGCAAAAACTGGGGTACAGGCCAAAGATGCAGGGGGTGAGAAGATTCAGCAGAGACAAAGTGAAGGAACAGAACAGATAGAATGACTGAAATACACTGCCCGGGGGAGTAGCAGGTGGGTCAGGAGAGGTCTGCCATACCATGTGGCTGCACTTTAACCTGTTGAGCCACCAGGAAGGGCCCTATATGAATTCTTATGTTAATTGTAGCACTATTTAACAAAAGTCAAGTTATGGAAGAAATCTAAGTATCCAAGGACAGATGAGTGGATTAAAAATATGTGGTATATGGGCCTCCTGGTGATGCAGGGCTTAAAGACACAGCATTATCAAGCTGTCAAGTTATTGACAGTCACTCCAGCACGACTTCAATCCCAAACAGGAGTGAACCGACATGACACAGCAAGCCTTTGTGTGTGTCTCACCTGCTTCTGCCCTCATCAGTGTATTTTTTGGTAGATCTGCCTGTTCTGCTCCCTACTCTGTCTCTGCTGAATCCTCTCATCCCCTACCACTTACACCTCTTTCCTACACCCCAGTTCTTGTGTGCATTAATAAACAAATCTTTGAAAAAGATGTGGTACATTAATTTATAGAAAGAGAATAAAATACTATTCAGCTCTGAATATTAATGTGGATGGGACTGAAGGGGATAAGGAGATGGTACTAAGTAAAACAAGCCAGGAGAAAGACAAATATTGGCTGGTTTTGCTCATATGTGGAATAGGATAAAAAAAACAAGGAGTTAGAAAACACCAAACTGAAACAACCTTTAGAAACCTAAAGGGAGGTTTAGGGAGGGAGAGGGAGAGGTCAAGAGAGTGCAGAGCAAAGGGAACACAGTTGGCTCTGGTGGACTATGTGCACTTTGATGGTGGGTGTGGTATTGGTTCAACACCTGTGGTGGTGGGATTCTCTATTTCTGATCATATTCATATATATGTGTGTAGGTATGTGTGTATATATATATACATATATATATCTAATTTAAAAAGAAGTGGGGGATTGTACAATTCTTTATCTGCATTTTTGGCATATAAGTTTTCAACTCCTCTGGGTAAATGATGGGGAACATGAATACTGTATAAACTGAAACAGTCTGGGCCTTCCCTGATTGCACAATGGGTTGGGATGCAGCATAGCAGTAGCTGCTTCAGTGACACAGCAGACTTCTCCTGTCTCACCCACTGCTCCCCTCAGCAGTGTACTTCATCCTTCTGCCTGCTCTTCTCTCCACTCTGTCTCTGGTGAAGCCTCTCATGGCCCCTGCATAAATAAATAAATCAATCTTTAAAAACAAACAAAAACTGCAACAGTATGTGGTTCTATTTATTTTTCACAAATCAATTCTGCTTTTATTTTTCTTATTTTTTTTATTAACATATATCTATTTACATTATTGTTCATTTTAAGACAATGTTTACTCCCCCCCCCCCACTTCACCTGCCTGTCATCCGCAATAGTATGAACGGGAGTTATTTGCCTATTTTTAATTAGGAATTTTTCTTTTTATTGCTAGCTTAACAGTACATGTGCTTTATCAATCTGATTGCTGGGCCTCCTCAAATTCCCTGGACCCCTTAATGTCATAGCTGCATCTCACTTGGCCATATGGACAGAGCATTCTGCTATGCCATGGTGGCTGAGAACCTGGTGATACTCCTCAGGTACATCTGCAAAGTAGGACACTGAGATTCCTGGATCTTCCTCCATGGGGAGTGTCTTTGGCTGGGACATAGCAGAGGCTTAGTATAGTCTCAGTGTACCTATTATTAGTTCTTTCCCTCCCTCTAGACTTAAATAGTTTCAGCATGATAGCTCTCCAGACTACCAGCAAACTGAGAAAATGCAGTTTGATTAATATTTATCCCTGCCAGTTGTGGTCTTTTTTATTATTATTAAAATTTGATGATGGCTAACCAATTTTATTTTATTTTTATTTTCCCCCAAAATAAAACAGAAAAGATACTTCACTCACATAAAAACAAAAAACAACACAGCACAACACAATACACATATATACGATATCATTATAAAGTAGATATGAACATAAAAGTCATGCTTAAAAAATTCTGTATGTGTTGTATTTTGGGGTTTAGTGTTGGAGTAAGGATAAGGAAGAAATTATTCTCATTCTCCTTTGGGCAGTTTTACATTTCTGTCTCTTAATCTCAACCAGAAAGCCGGCAGTGGGTGCATCTATTTGCCTGTCCTCTCCTCCACCTCTCTCATTTCCCTGATCTTTGCAAAATCAAGAGTTAGGAGGCCAGAAATAACAGACGAGGAATAGTCTTCTGCCCTCTTTCCTCTTCAAATTGTCTTTGGGTCTGGTTTTTCCATTTTCATTGGATAGAAACACTTTCACTCTTATCTCTGCCATAGTTTACTGTGATTTGTAATTTTTTAAACATTACATAATAGTTTATTTTTACATCATTTTGTACTTTTTTTCCCATCTCAATTGTAATCCCTGTGGGTTTCCCATCACCAAGTCACCCATGTGCCATCACCTGTGATTTGTAAATTTAAGGGCAGACGAGTTATCCTTATAGACATTTGGCTTTTTTAAAAAAAGATTCACTTTATTTATTTATGCATACAAGAACTGGGGTATAGGCCAGAGGTGGGGATGTGTGTGAGAGAATTCACCAGAGACAGAGTGGGGAGCAAAACAGGCAGGTGTACTGATATACACTGCTGAAGGGAGCATTGGGCCAGACAGGAGAGGTCTGCTGCACCATGTGGATCACCTCGCTGGTCAAGGATCTAACTCCACTTGCAGTGGCTGTGAATAGCTTCGTAGTGCTGAGACTTAGCCCCTTGTGCCACCAGGGATGTCCTGACATTTGGATTTTTGAAAAGAAAACTTGCAAAGTTTATGATCACAGATACAAATTAGTGGTTCAATTTCTCCAGATTACTATGTTAACCAATCTAATGATTAGGTCATTTTCATTGAGCGTGGGCAAAAACGCACCTGAATTACTACTAAGTGTTTCTGCAGGATGAAATCTAAGTTTCTCTCTCCCAGTCACACCTAAATCCAGAAAAACAAAATCAATAAAAAACTTATGCGTTCTAGGACGGTTTGGGTAAAGAGGGGGTACTTTGAGCCGTGACTCCCCGTTACTAAAACTCAAAACCAAACACCTATGCCAACCAGCAACACTTTTACATGCATTCCTTACATATAAACAGGATAATGAAGATAAATGACAGAAGAGGATAATTAAAAAAAATGTTTACACTTTAAAAATGCAAATTAAAATATGAAAAAGTCATCGGAAGTCACATTGTGAATGACACTGAAAAGAACAAATCCAGGGAATTTGGAGAGCATTGCAGAACAGCCCTGTCCCACGCTACGACTTCGGAAGGCTGCACCTCCAGAAACAATTTCATTGGGCCTCACCTGCCCGCTCCGGCGCCCCAGCCCCTCTCCCGCAGGCGCACGGCGGGCAAACGCAGGTCAGCAGGTCTGGTCGCCTTCCCCGCCCCCGAGTTGCGAATTCCGATTGGTGCACTTCCCGGGGCCGCCCCTTTCACCCAACCAATGTGAAAACACCTCGGCGCTCCGCTTCCCCTGCCGGCTGTGTGCGGCAGTTTAGCCTGCGAACCCTGCGGCGAGCGGGGATGGCGGCTGTAGCTGCGGCTGCGGGCCGTTGGCTGGGGCTCGCTGGAGCCCGCTCGGAGGGGCCCTGGCGTCGTCTGCACGGCGCGGGGCTGCGGCGGGCCTTCCTGCACCCGGTCTGGGCCGGCCGGGAGGGGGCTCAGAGGCGTCTGGTGGCTCACTTCACCTTCCAGCCGGATCCGGAGCCCCAAGAATATGGTGAGTGGGGCCGCCTTGCCCTCTTCCGCTGCAACCCAGACAACCTGGCCGTGGGCGCTTTCTAGGAGTGCTGCCTGTCCTGTGGGCGGTGGTGGCGAGGGTGGAGCGCAGACCGATTTTGCATCTTCTCACAATCCCTGCCCCGCTCCCTGGATTTTCTCCCTCTTAGGGAGTGGTTTAGGGACTGTGATTTCCTCCAGCATTTTGGTGACTGTTTAGTTCCCGAGAGGCACCCCCCATCCCCCGCCCCCTCATCACCTTCCAGATGGGTGAGAGGGCGCGCGGCTGTTTGGAACGGCCTGAGATTGGAGGGGGGTGCCTAGGGCAGCCGCCTTTTCTCGGAGCTCTATTCCTGCTTTCTCTGGCCTTTGGCGTTGTCCCAGACTGGGTCACTAACTACAAGCAGCGGCGTTTAAAAACAAGAGGGCTTTAACCACCCCCCCCAACCCCCCCCACTGGCAGGTCAGTAGCATCTAGGAGAACAAGTAACAATTGATTTTCCCAAGGTCATAGAACTGATTCTTCTAGAGGTGGGAAAGAGGCCAGACTTCTCTGAGCCTAGAGGGGGAGCTTGGCGACCGCTTAGCCAATGAGAGGTAATCGATGAAGGTGAGAGGAGTAGAAACTCATTTATTTAAGGCTTCCAAGGTTAGGAAGGGCGTGTAGCAAAGTGCTTACAGAATGAGTTACTTTACTTTTACCATTTCTTCTGAAAGCTTTGTGTAAGCTCTGAAGGAGCCATGGTCTGTCATCAGAACATCAGAAACTAAAAGAAAACAGTTGCTCTTTCATTTTTGTGTGCTAACTTCTTACAGCTAGAGCTCACATAGACAAGAAGCAAGTCTTGCGAATAATAAGAGTGAACACGTGCTGAGTGCTTACCAGGACAGGCGCTGTATGGAAAAGTTTGCATTCATCTCATTTGATAATCAGGACAACTTAAAGAGATAGGTGCTGTTTTTATGGATAAATCGCACAATTATAAGGACAAAGCACATTGTAAGGAGGACTAGGTTTTTTTTTAACTTTTAAAAAAATGGTAGGTAGTTCTTTTATTCTCATTTTTGTTACTTTAACTGAGTTCCTGAGCTGCTTTGTCCAGGGCTACACAGATAAGTTAATGGTAATCAGCTTTGGAATCTAATAATTCAGATTCTAGGGCTTTCATTCTAAACTGTGTGATAACATGCATGTAGACATTTTTTACTATGAGTAAGTAGGTGCTGTAAAGCTGAAGAGCAATTTTTTTTCTTTCCAACAAGATGACTTCATATTCTGTCTTCAAAGCAAAGAAACTGTAACCCAGTACTTGAGAAATATAACATGGTGTTCTTTAACCTTCTGCAGTAGTGAAATTGCTAAAATCTAAGAAGTGATGATCACTTCTTTATATCTATTCTTATTATAAAAATAATAAAAGCACATTACAAATAATCTGGATAATAGAAGTGAAATAGGGAAGTAATCATACCACCTACTAATGTAAATATTGCTATTATTTTAGGGTGTGTCCTGCTAGTTATTTCTTTTCTTTAAAGGTATTTTCTACAATTGTAATTTTATGCAAATGCAAGCTTCATTATTTATTCAGAAGCATTTTACCACATTGTTATGTAGTTGTATAATATTCATTAGAAGAATATGGGTTCTTTGAAGTAGAAACACTTAATTCAGTGATTAATATCTTTTCCAGTTCCATCCATGTTGCTGCAAAAGACATGTCTTTCTTTATTTTTGGTTGCTGAGTAGTATTCCATTGTATATATGTACCACATCTTTTAAATCCAGTCATCCACTTTTGAGCATTTGGGCTGTTTCCATGTCTTTCCAATTGTGAATAAAGCAGCAATAAACACGGGGGTGCAGGTATCTTTTTGAATCAGTGTGTTTGTGTCTTTTGGGTAGATACCTAGGAGTGGGATTGCTAGGTTGTAAGGAAGCTGCATGTTAAGCAGTTTGAGGAACCTTCAAACAGTTTTCCACAGTGGTTGTACTAGTTTGCATTCCCACCAGCAGTGCAGGAGAGTTCCTTTTTCTCCACATCCTCGCCAACATTTGTTGTTGCTAGTTGTTTGAAGTTGTGCCATTCTCACTGGGGTGAGGTGATATCTCATTGTGGCTTTAATTTGCATCTCCTTTATTACAAGTGATGTTGAGCATGTTTTCATATGCTTGTTGGCCATCTCCATTTCCTTTTTGGAGAAGTGTCTTTTTAGCTCTTCTGCCCATTTTTTGATGGAGTTGTTTATTTTTGTTGAGTTTCATCAGTTCTCCGTAAATTTTTGTGATCCATCCTTTATCGCTAGTTTTGTGTGAGAAAATTTTTCCCCAATCATTGGGATGTCTGTTTGTTTTCTGTAGAGAAGCTCTTTAACTTGATGTAGTCCCATCTATTTATCCTTGCCTTCACTATCGTTGCATTGGGTGCTCTATCTTTAAAGATGTCGCTGAAGTGTATGTCGTGAAGTGTTTGGCCCATCTTTGCTTCCAGGTATTTTATGGTTTCTGTACTTAAGACATAACTAAATTTTTAAAGAAAGATTGATGTATTTACTTATGCACAGAAGAACTGGGGGGCAGGGTAAGCCTGACTTAAATTAGTGTGTTTACTCCCTTCATTATTTTGTGTTGTTTCAAGAACAGCATATCTAGTTCTCTCCCTGCCCCTAATTTCAGGCATTGTGTAATTATGTGGTTTGTTTATTCATTCATTCTCCTCAGTTCCTCCTTGATGCCCAACTCTGCTAGCTTCAGGCTAAGGAAATGGATCTGTCCTTAGAGAATTTGAAGCTGGGTGGGGGAGATGGACAAAAAATATCAAGCAAATATCAAACCTGTCTCAGGAGGAATGTCCAAGTTCTAGGAAAGAATAATAGAGGCCTGCTAAAGCTCCTAAGAAAAGGCAATATTTGATCCTTCTTGGTGGCACAGGCTTAATACTATGAGGCTATCTGCAGCATGAGTTCAATTCCCTGCCAGGGAGCTGACCCACATGGTGCAGACCTCTCTACTGTCTGCCCCCTGCTCCCCTCAGCAGTGTATTTGAGTTGATCTGCCTGTTCTGCTCCCCACTCTGTCTGGTAAACCCTCTCCCCAACCTTACCCCCACACCTCTAGCCTGCACCCCAGCTCTTGTATGCATAAATAAATAAATAAATAAATAAATAAATAAATAAAACTGCTGTTAAGAAAAAGAGAAAAATAAAAGGTAGTGTTTAACCAATCTCTGAGAGGTCATAAAGGGCTATCTGAGGAATGAAGCCAGTGGCAAGGACCAAGTTTAGTAGAATGGAGAGAAGTGATCAGTGGGGGACATTCTGTAATTGTAGAAGTGGGCAGGGATGAGCTCAAACAGCCTTGTGGATGTGCTGAAGAGTGCAGGGTTTTATACTAAGTGCATGCACAGGCCTTTGAAGCCTTTTGAATAGAGCAGTAAACATATAGTTTTGCTCATTATAGAGGCTTTGATGAATATTTTAGAAGGGTGAAAGAGTAGAACTGAGGAGGCAGTACTGTGGACTGAGTGTGTATGTCCCACTCTCCCAGGCCCCTTGTATGATGGTATTTGGAGGTGGGGATATTGGGTGGTACTTACATCATGAAGACTGAATCTTCATGAATGGGATTAGTGCCTTTATGAGAACAGACACAAGAAAAATTCTCTCTTAACTCTAGGAGTATACATCACAAATATGCCTTTTGCAAACCAGTAAGAGGGTCCTCACTAGGATTTCAGGTTCATCTTGAATTTTCCAAACTTCAGAATGGTGAGAAATAAATTTCTGTGGATTAAATCACCCAATTTTTGGTATTTTGTTATAGCATCATGGATGATCTAAGACAGGTGCCTAGGAGGCAGTTTTCCCCAACAGGAAAGAGATGGTGAATTCTGGAAATAGGACCTCCTAATTTATATTTTAAGCTATATTTTGGAGATAACATATTTGGAAATAAGGAGTTGATGGAATGGATATGGAATTAATAAAGAACACCATACAAGGATACATCCTTGGTTTCTGTCATGGATAGTGCTATTGGCTAACTTTGAGAAGACTGACTTTGGGAGCAGATACTATGAGTTCAGTTTTGTGCTTGTTAAATTAGAAAAGTCCAAGACACCCAAGTAGAGAACTGATGACTGTTATGTGAAACTTAAAAAAAAAAAGTTTTATTTATGCATACAGAACTGGGGTACAGGCCAGAGATGCGGAGGATGAGAGGCTTCACCAGAGACAGAGTGGGTAGCAGAACTGGCAGTGACAAAGTACACTGCTGAGGGGAGCAGCGGGTGGGTCAGGAGAGGTCTGTCCTGCCATGTGGGTCAGCACTCTGGCCAGGGATCAAACTCTTTCCGTAGTGGCTTTGGAGAGTTTTATAGTGCTTTAAGCCATTGTGCCACCAGGGAGAGCCCTCACTCCTCATTTTACCTGATTTCTACCCCATTCAACAAATAATTTGTTGAGCACTACATGTCAGGCTTTGTTGTAAGTGATGAACATATAGGTCTGATCAAAGGCAGATAAAACCCATATCCTGGCCCTCCCTGGTGGCGCAGCGGGTTAAAGCACAGCACTAAGAAGCTAAAGCCACTTCTGCATGAGTTCGATTCCCGCCTGCCCCGGAGGTGACCACATGGCTTGGCAGACCTCTCCTGACCAGTCCGCTGCACCCTCAGCAGTGTACTTCGTCGATCTGCCTGTTCTGTTCCCCATTCTGTCTCTGGTGAAGCCTCTCACTGCCCCTGAGCCTCTGGCCTGTACCCCAGTTCTGTATGCACAAATAAATAAATCTTAAAAGAAAAAAAAAAAAAAAAAAACCCCCCCCCCCATATCCTGGAAACCTTTTTCATGAAGATGGCATTTCAAGAAAAGAAGGAAGCCCTTGCCCTTCCTGAGCCCATGCCAAAGCAAACACATTGAGAAAAGTTGTGCTACAGCCACAAAAAGAAGATCCTTACTTCACCCACCTTCTACATGCCGGAAACAATGACTCTGAAGGCAAGCCAGGGATCCTTGGAAGAGCACCCCCAGCAGAAACGAGCTTGACTACTGTGCCATCAAGTCCTGCTGACCATCGAGGCAGCAGTGAAGAAGACAGCAGTGCACTTGTGTTCATTGTGGATATCAAAGCTAAATGATACTAGATCAACCAGGCTCTGAAGAAGCTCTGTGATGTAGATGTGGCCAAGGTCAACAGATCTGACCAGACCTGCCAGAGGCTTCTGACTATGATGTGTTGGATGTAGCTGACAAAATTGGTATCACCAAAGCTGAATCCAGCAGGCTAACACTAATTTTTTTCACCATTTAAAAAAAAAAAAAAAGGACCGCGGGGACTTATGTTGTAATTGTGTTCCTTGAATTTTGCTGACATGATATTTTCTTTTTTCAGTGATGTTGATGACCTAGTTATTCATGAATTTATGGTCTGTGTAAGAATTTTGAGTGATTATTGCCGCTCCAACCACAGAGCCCCATTTTACCAATAGATACCAATTAGCTCGCTTCTTGACTTGGGAAATTGCCCTGATATGTATATTTTTATGTTTGTTTTAACTTTTTTATCTTGGAAGATTTGTCAATTTCATTTTGAAATTTAGCAGTCATTTATTACTACTAGTAATTGTATGACGTGCCATCTGTATTTGATAGTTTTTTAGTGTTCATCAATCACCCTCTTCCCCCACTTTATACAGGTGTGTTTATAAGGAAACACAGACAGGTCTCATGAATGGTCTTTGGCATAATCTACAGAATAAGTAATTGTAATGTAATTATGTAAAATGATCTTACTTTTGAATAACTTGTGACTTCTTCCTGACCCATTCACAAAGCATGCTATACTGTAACTTTAAAAAAGAATCAAAATTAGATGTTTTATTATAAATTGTCATTTAAAACTTTTAAAAGCCAGTTAACCCCAAATCTTAAGATTTTGACTCAAAGTGAAAAAAAAAATAAGAGTGAACATTTTTGTGCTTACATGGAAATGCAGCTTTTAAATACTTTTAAATCCTGTTTTAAAATACCATTTTTTAATGAAAAGGAACTTTAATACAGTGAGTATACAACACAGAAGACAAAGAATATAATTTCTAAATCAAACACCTGAAATTACCCATCCCCTCATGGGTAAAAGTCATCCCAAAAGGGATTGGCCCAAAGCAAGGCCTGAAAGCCCACCATAAGACTAAAGCACCTTCTGGCCGGGACCTATAGAAAAGAGCCAGACAGGGCCAGATATATCTGGGAGGAAAGAGCAAAATCAAAATTAAGATAAAAGCTGCCATAGTCATCCTCCCCATGGGTGTCTCACCCACATCTGTTTCAACCAGCACAGGGCCAAGAAACAAGCATGGCTTTTTCATCACATGCTTGCTGCCCCATGTGGCTTCCTCAGGTCTCCTTTGGCTCTCCAGCCTGCTTCCTTCTCCTCTTCAGATTTCTTCTCTTCTCTCCTCAGCTCCACCTTCCTTCTAGGTGGGGTATGGAACCTGGAAGCTCCCCTTTTCCTGGGGACTACCCTGTTACAATCCCCCCCTTTGATAAAAATACTATTTTAAATACTTTTTAAAACGTAAATAAACACTGTTACTTGTAAAAAAAAAAGTTATACAAGATGGTAAATTCTTTGTGGTTATCAAACAATACTTTCCAGACTTTGTATGATATTTTATTATTAAAGCTTTTGCTTTCTTCCTACTGAAAAGTCACTGAGTGGTGATATGATGAAATGTCTTGAGAATATTCAATATTAATTCAAATAATCAGCAGACTTGAAATTACAGCTTTGATGTTTATACATTTTCAGTCTTTCTAGATTCTTAGCTATGAAAACCCTAGTAGGCAATTAAAAATATTTCCTTAGAAATATATAAAATGGGATACTAGGCACCAGGAAGCACTAAGAATTTTTATAGATTGGAGAAAGATTTTAGGAAAGTAATGTTAATTGAAATTTCCTTTGCATGAAGAAAGATAAATTATGAAGTAATTATGGATATGTGATTTTGTATTCTTTGACATGGGTGATATAAATAATACACTCTTGAATAAATTCTTATTATCGCTACCAGAAATAAGAGTAGAGAAACTGTCCTTAATGTTTAGTACAGAGGACAATAGAACATGGCTGATGGGTCATTGCCAGACCTGGAGCCATAGTGCTGGAGGGCTTACAGATATGGCTGGGGCAGAACCAGCAGAGATTCAGAAGGCCTGTGCCAGCAGATCAGGGAAGGCACAGTTGTCAGAAGTCACAGCCTGCTGTGGAAGAAGGCCAAGCTTTGGAAGAAGATGGGTCTCTAGGAAAGAAGGAGTGATCAGCAGGACTTTGGACTAGAGGGTTGAAAGTAACAACTATAGCTGTTGTGACCTATCTTGGGAATTAGATTTTTTGGCTTTGGGGATTCCCCAGGCTAACAGTGTTCAGCTAAGAGCAGGTGTTGAAGGGTTTAAGATGGACATGGTCAAGATGGACATGGACAGAGCCCACAATCTGACCATTAATAACTGATATTTAGTTAGCATTTACTGTGTAAGTACTTCATATGTAATGTTCCATTTAACCCTCCTAACAATTTATGGAGGGAGAGAGGTTGGTTTGCAGATTCTCCCTCAACAGCAAGATAGTAGGAAGGCCCAATACTGATGTGTTTCAGCAACAGTTGTTCTATTCTTCACACACCAGCAGTTCTGGGTATTTCTGTTTAAGTATCCTCTTTGTATTATGGTCCATGACCGTTTGCTCTTAATGGCATATTTACAGATGCCACTGGTCATGTACATTTGTCACAGATTCTGTTCTGAACCTTTACCCAGGATATTTTGCCAGACCACTCTCACACTGACTGATCCCTTTTCCAGCTTTTCATAACTTCTATTTTCTCCACACAACAGGTCACTTGATTGTATTTCTTCTTCCTTTTTTGGTACTTGTTATAAAATTGTTTAAGATGCATAAATTTCACCTCATCAACAAGCATTTTTAAGTCTGCATTGCTTTTGTATCTTCCACAGAGCTAGCATCATTACAAATAATTCAGTAAATTAAAAATATGTTCTATATCTTCCTTTTTATCTTGGTTTAATAAAGTTGTAGTTACCTGTTACGAAGTTGGCTATTTTGAATATATTTTACAATGCATAGACTATTACTTTTTTTTTTCTTCATTTTTTACAGGACAAACTCAGAAAATGAATCTTTTCCAGGCAGTAACAAGTGCTTTGGATAACTCATTGGCCAGAGATCCCACGGCAGGTAAACTTCCTTTGTCTTGATTGCATGGTAGCCATGTTAATTCAGAATTGAAGATATGTTGGAAATATTTTTCTGGAGTTCAGTGGAGAGCATTATATCTAAATTCTTTAAAAGACCCAATCAAATGCTGAAGGTTAAGTAATCAAATTTTAAAATTCATTATTATTCATCCACCTGTTTTGAGTTAGTTCTTATGCCTAACACCATTAAGTTAACTTTTCTCCTGTAGTATGCTCTTGATAGTACATTAATACCTTTGGTGTACTCCTGTTTCTCTAGCAGGTAGAAAACATGGTAAATAGCACTTTTTCATATATCTATAAATGAAGATTTGATTATCTGTTTTCCTTTTCTTTATATTGTCATTCAACTTCTAAGATTTTTTTTGGAAATAATTTTAATATTTATAAGTCACCTTTTAAGCAACTTAATATTTATCTTATCAAAATAATTTATTAATGTAGAACATTATACTTGTCCTGTATGTTTTTAAAATTTAATTAGTTTTACTTCATATATATTTAATATATTTCAGGTTTCTACTTGAGAATCTCTATTTTTAAGGTCAAGTGAAAAGAGATTTTTTTTTTAAAGATTTATTTATCTATGCATACAGAACTGGGGTACAGATCAGAGGTGCAGGATGTGAGAGACAGAGTGAGAGCAGGGAAAGGCAGGTGGACTGAAACACACCACTAGAGGAGCAGCAGGCAAGACAGGAGAGGTCTGCCATAGCATTTGGGTCACCTCCTCGGCCAGGGATTGAACTCTTGCTGCAGTGGCTGCAATAACTCCATAGTGCTATGCTTTAGAGGGCCGAAAGAGGTTATTTTTTTAGGGGAAAGTGAATGTTAGAGTAGTAGATGATTAGATCTTACCTGAGTCATTTTCTTGAGATCTAGAAAACTGGTTAGGTACATTAGGGACTAGAATTCAATATTGTGAGTACTTATTCTTTTATTTTCTTTGCCTTACTACAAAGCTTCTTGTAATTTTTTTCTGTTCCATTCTTTGCCTTACTCACTATAAACACCATATTTGGCTCCTTTGTTTCATACTATTTAATCACTTTTCTCTCAGCTTAAAATACTTTTCCTTTTTCAGATTATTGACTCCTAAATACCATGTATGAAAAATCTTTGGCAAGTTACTAAGTCTCTGACCTTATTTTCTTCATGGATAACAACAAAATGACACTCTAGGTCACTGGTTCTTTCTTAGCTGGGGTGATTTTAATTCTCTCCTACCATTTTTTAAAATTTATTTATTTATTTATTTATTTATTTATTTATTTTTTAAAGATTTATTTATTTATTCATACAGAACTAGGGTACAGGCCAGAGATGGGGAGGGTGAGAGGATTCACCATGAACAGAGTGGGAGCAGAACAGGGAGATCAGCGAAGTACACTGCCGAGGGGAGCAGCGGGCGGGTCAGGAGAGGTCTGCCACGCCATGTGGTCTCCTCCAGGGCAGGCGGGAATCGAACTCGTGCAGAAGTGGCTTTAGTTTCTCAGTGCAGTGCATCAACCCGCTGCACCACCAGGGAGGGCCAAATTTATTTATTTTTAATGATTTATTTATTTATGCATACAAGAGCTGGGATGTAGGCCAGAGGTAGGGATGGGGGAGGAGAGGATCCACCAGAGAGAGGGGGAAGCAGAACAGGTAGATTGAAATACACGGTTGAGGGGAGCAGCCAGTGAGACAGGAGAGGTCTGCTGCACCATGTGGGTCAACTCCCTGGCTGGGGATCAAACTTGTGCTGCGGTGGCTGTAGATAACTTCATAGTGTTGAGACTTGCTCCTTGTGCCACCAGGGAGTTCTTTTCTCCTACCATCTGGAGACTCTTTGTTGTCGCAACTATATTTACACTACATAACAATGTAAAGGCTGCTGCAATGAAAGAATCATCCAGTCCAGAGTGTCAGTAATGTTGACACTGAGAGACCTTGATTTAGATCTGTGAGCCATTCTATTTCTAGGTTTAAAAATGTAAATATTTAAATTACTTGTTTCTTATTGTTAGTATCACTTAGGGATCATTAAATAAAATGTGTTCTGTAAACATTGTTTTTCAGTAATATTTGGTGAAGATGTTGCCTTTGGTGGAGTTTTTAGGTGTACTGTTGGCTTGCGAGACAAATATGGTAAGTTATGTATTAATATTATTTTTATAGAACTTTTTACTTTATTTTATAGAACTTTTACTTAAAGATCTTGAAAATACAAAATATTCTTGTTAAATTATTCACTTGTCCTTATTCTATGGGTAGTTCTTTCTAATTTCACAGCCACCCACAGAATCTTTTGGCTTAGATTTTTTTTTAAAGGTTTATTTATTTATACAGACAGAACTGGGGTATAGGCCAGAGGTGCGGGGGCAGTAAAGAGGACTCAGCAGAGACAGAGCAAAGAGTAGAACAGTCAGATGTACCAAAATCCACTGCCGGGGGAGCAGCGGCAGGTCATGATAGGTCTGCCAGGCCATGTGGGTCTCTTCCCTGGCCAGGATCTAACTTGTGCTTCAGTGGCTGTGATAGCTTCATAGCACTGTGCTTTAACCCGTTGCACCACCAGTGAGGGCCCTGGCTTAGGTCTTTCTAAATTTCTCCTAACTATAACATCACTCAGCTCTAGACTATTACACATATTATGGATTCCAAAATCATCATCAATAAATATGGTGTTTATACTGCCACTCGTATGCTCAAGAATCTTTGATCATGCTGCCCACATTAGTCCACATCCAGTCCATTGCCTTTACTTCAAGATTCTGCCTTATTCTATTTCTAGATGTTATCTTTCCCTACCTACATAAGTCAGGGTTCTCCAGAGAAATAGAAACAAGGGGATATATTTATATATCTACATCTATCTGTGTGTTTAGTTAAATGTTTTCATGTCTGTGTCTGTACCTATAAATCTGTATCTATATTTATACCTATATGTTTTGAGAGAGAAAGTCAGAGACTCATTTTTCCAGGAATTGTCTCACATGATAGAGGGGGCTGCAAGCCTGTCATCTGTAGGGCAGCCAGTGGCCTGGACAACCAGTCAGGGTTTCTATGTTGAAATCTTGGGTGGAATTTCTTTGGAAACTTCAGTTTTATCTCCTATAACCTTCATATGATTGGATGAGGCCCACCATGTTATGAATGATAATCAGCGTTACTTAAAAGTCCATTAATGTAAATGTTCATCACACCTAACAAAAAAAAAAAACCTTCAATATTTAAGTATTTCACCAAACAACCAAGTTCTATAGCCTTGTCTCATTGACACAGTAAGTTAACCATCACTTTATTTTTAAATATATTTTATCCCCGATAATTTGTGGTTTTTGCTTGGTATGTGATGAACTTTATTTATTCATATAGAAGTGGGGTACAGGCCAGAGATGTGGAGGGTGAGAGGATTCACAAGAGACAGAGCGGGGAGCAGAACAGGCAGATGGATGAAGTACACTGCTGAGGGGAGCAGCGGGCTGGTCAGGAGAGGTCTGCCTTGCCATATGGATCTCCTTGGAGCAGGCGGGAATCGAACTCATGAGGAAGTGGCTTAAGTTTCTTAGTGCTGTGCTTTAACCCGCTGTGCCACCAGGGAGAGCCTGTGATGAACTTTTTCCTGCTGCTTTTATTGTTTCATCTAACTCAGACTTGAAACCATCAGCATAAGAAATGTGTGTCAGTCTCTTACTGGTAGGGGACCTTTCATATCTTTACTTAGTCTTATCTACTCTGGAAGTCAGCAAAACAGTTAAATTTAGAGGGAAGAGTTGACAGATAGCTATCTTCTTATCTCTGCCACTGCCCCTTATGCTGTGTAGGAGTGAGAGTCTTCCAAGATTTTTTTTTTTTAAAGATTTATTTATTCATACAGAACTGGGGTACAGGCCAGAGATGCGGAGGGTGAGAGGATTCACCAGAAACAGAGTGGGGAGCAGAACAGGCAGATTGACGAAGTACACTGCTGAGAAGAGCAGCGGGCGGGTCAGGAGAGGTCTGCCACGCCATGATCTCCCCGAGGGGCAGGCGGAAATCGAACTCATGTGGAAGTGGCTTTAGCTTCTTAGTGCTGTGCTTTAACCGCTGTGCCACCAGGGAGGGCCTCTTCCTAGATTTTTTTAAAAAAGATTTGTCTACTTGTGTACTGGGGTGTAGGGCAGAAGTTTAGGAGGTAAGAGTGTTATTGGGTGGGGAGAGGGGCACCCCAGAACCCCCAAACCTGCTTGCTCTAAATAGGTTCTGCTGTCCACCACACCACATCAAGACAAAACATATGCACCTTTAATGGAAAGGAACCTTTATACAATCAGTAAACAATACAGAAAAGGGGAAGAATTTAGTTTCCAAATCAAGCACCCAAAGTTACCCATCCCCTTGTGGGTAAAATGTCCTCCCACATGGGATTGGCCCAAAGCAAGGTCTGAAACACAGCCACATGTTGTCAGAAAAGTTGCCAGAAGGAGTTAAACAAGTCTGGGAGGAAAAGAGCAAAATCAAATCCAAGATAAAATCTGTTGTCACTGCCCCATGCGTCTCTTACCCATATCTTTTCCCACCATTGCAGGACCAAGAAGCAAGGGCAGTTTCTTCACATGTCTCCTGCTCCTTGTGCCTCCCTGAGGTCTCCTCTTCCTTCTCCAGTTTCCTCTAACTTCTCCCTGCTCAGCTCCACCCTTCTGTGGGTAGGACAGGAATCTGGAACTTCCCCTTTTCCTGGGCATCACTCTGTTACAGTTTTAAATTCCTTGTTTGGTTTCTTGAGCATCTCTACCCTGTCTGGTTCTGATACTTGCTCTGTCTCTTCAAATTTGGGCTTTGCTTTTTGGTACTTTTTTAATACATCTTACTATTTTTACTTGATGGTCAGATATGATGTCCCAAGTAAAAGGGACTGCCATAAATGGGCTCTTAGTGATGTGGAGGTAAAGTGTGGAGGAGAGGATTGGAAGCAGTCTCTAGTTCTGTAATTAGGTCTCAGTCTTTTAATGAGTCTGTGCCTTGAAAGTGTGAACTTCACCAGTGTTTCATCATCTTTCTTTCCCCTTAGGTGGGCCAGGATGGCCAGAGTGGCTGTGTCAGCAGACTGTTAATACCTAGCAGAACAGGTTTACTGCTTTAACCTGAGCTGATTTAACTACATGCTTAAGAAAGGAGAACTTAAGTCCTCCCTGCTCATGTAGCAGGTTCAAGTGCAGCTCTACAAAGCTATCTGCAGTCACTGCAGCATGAGCTCAATTCCTCACCAGAGAGGTGATCCACTTGGCACACACAGACCTCCTCTGACCTGCCTGATGTAGTGCAGTTCAGTAGATGTGCCTGTTCTGCTCCTCATTCTATCTCAGAGGAATCCTCTCACCCTCCCCCCTCAGGCCCCACCTCTGGCCTGTACCCCAGTTCTTGTATGCATAAAGAAGTAAATCTTTAGGAAAACAAGGGAGAACTCTTATCATTTCAAAATGGTTCCTGTTTGTGTCCCTTGTTGGAAACATGAGGAAGTTTTTCATTGATTTTTTGCTCTGAGGACCTGGTTGAGCTCCTGAAGGTTAAGCCTCACAGGACTGTGTGTGTGAGGGTTCCTGTGTCTGGATCCCTTGAAGTTTTTAAAACTTACATACTTGTCCATAAGCTAAACTTAAAATTTAGTCACCATTCAGATTTTCCTACCAGGTAATGACTCCTGTGATGGTTGCCACATGTTAGTCTCTCCTCCCCTCAGTCAAAACTCCCTCAGCTCATCTGTGCCTCCCACTTTGGGAATAGCAATTTCCTCCATGTTCTCCATGCCCATGGTTCCAAGAAGGGTTGCTGATTTTTCATTTGGTTCAGCTTTTTACTTGTTTGGCGAATTTCAAAGTCCTGACACCAGGACTTGAGTTATACTTTTGTAACATTTCTATATCTGGTCTAACTACACTGTGGAGCAGCTTCTAGCCTTAACTATTCCATCTGTCTGAACCATGGTAGCATGCCAGGCGCTTATTTAAGCTGGTGATTCTGTTGTCTTGGTGATTCTGTTGTCTGTCTGCACAGCTACTCCTTGGTGGTGCTCTCCTTATTGTACCTTTTCTGAGGCATTTTGTTCTTGGCTGTGCCCACACTAGTGACTGCTGAATTCCTACCTCCAGTCTATTCCTTGGCCTGAAATTCAGCTCTGTATATTTAGCATACCGCTACACATCTTCACCTGGATGTTCCAGTCACTTCAAACTCAGCATTTCCAAAGCTGGCTTTCAGTTGTGAGGGTGATCTGTCTGTGACCTCTGACACCCCATTAATTGCGAGGGTTGATTTGGCAGATCTGCCTGGCTAGGTGGGTGTCCCCTTTCTCCCTTATCTCTCCATGTACATCCCTCCCAAAGCTGCTTACTCAGCCCAAGAGGACAGCCTTCCCTGAGTGAGATGGACAGTTCTTCAGTGGAGGGTACAGAATAGCTGCACTCCCCTGTTAGAACCTCCAAGTAAGCTCTCCAGGTCCAAAGCTGGCTTTCATGATGTCCACTCAGCAAAACTGCGCTTCCTACTGTAACAGGCACCCCATTGTGAATTGGGTTGCCCATCTGTGGGCTCTCACCCGTGCGCTTAAGATTGTTATACTGTGGACACACACGAAAAGTTTGACAAGGAGAAAGGAAAAGGAACAACCCAAGGAAAAAGAGAGATAAATACGAGTTAACTAGAATATCCTACCAGTTCTGCTGACTTGGACTCCAATAGCACACTGAAAACTGAGCCAAACGACCAGCTGTGAACCACCAGGCCAAGAGACCCCCGGAGCCCATATGTCCAGTTTTATCCCAACCTGGCTGCTCAGCTCCACTCTCACATCCCAGTGTGCTTCTCCTTGCTATTGATGGGATTTGTAGTTCCTGTATCTGGAGTGGGGGTAGAGTCCATGAAACCTGTATCTGTTACACTACTACATTTCCTATTTTGGTGACTGACCATCATCCATCTAGTTACTTACCTAAGCCACAAACTGCGGAGATCCTAGTGTTCTTCTTTCTCATGCCTCATATCTGGTCAAGCCCCACAATTTTCAGCGTGTCTTTATGGGCAGGTTCATTGTGGATACGGGCAAATACATAAAGGGTGTTAGAGGTCTTGGTAGATTTGACAGGCTTTTAATGCTGAAGCAGGGAACC